TAATTTTTACAATCAAAAATTATAAATGATTATTTTACAACAAACAATTGTATAAATTGTCTTTCTATGTTAATAATTGAAAAAAAAATGAATAGTCAACTTGAAGATAGATTAAACTAGAAAAGTTGATAAAAATTGGTCAGCAACATCTTGAATTTTCTTGGAGATAAACCTAATTTCTGCAAGAAACATCAAAACTGGCAATATTAATTACTAATTGATATATAAAACACTTGGAGTATATTTTTAAAGCGTTGAGTAATAAATAATTGAATGAATCATCTGAGAATTCGAAAATTTCCGGGTGTAACAAATTGTAAGCTGTCTAGAATACGTGGGTGGTAATCGTGTCTAGTAATAAAAAAATACATTTTCGTTTGTGTTCAAAACCGTGTGTGTATATATAAATATATGTAACGTCGCGATGCGTGCCACGTAGATCAACGAGTGATGGTCTCTCGTCTCTTTTCCTATAACACACTTAAGCTTCTCGTCGCGTTAACATAGTCTGGGAGGCGTCTGTCCGGGTCGACGTCCGGCCAGAAATAGCAAAAGTAGCGCCGCGATGCTCGCAACTTATGTCACCCCACAATACCGCGACCGAATGCCGTCCTTCTCTCTTGACGTCTCTGACTCTCGTGAGTCTCATGTCTCGTCGAATTCCGGCCTCGGTCGTGTACACTTATATATTACCCTCTGTCTATCCACATCGAGAAACCTACAAGCATGATCTATCTCCTCCTTTTGATCTTTTCAACGCGCCCCCTTCGAATCTCTTGCTGCAATTGTTCTATTTTACACCACCAGACACATTCGTACTACTCTTCCAAGAGCAATTCTTTATATTGCAGCCAATGAACATCACTTTGAGTTTCTCGGACATGCTAAAACTTGCATCAACAACTGCTAATGCTGCACCCTACTAAATCTAAATTGGATTCCAATGTTAAAACCCGAAATCTTCAGTTTTTTTAATTCTTTTTCTTCTTTTCTATTCAATGAAAAAGACGATAAATAAGGGTCACCAAAATAAAAGCATAAAAAATAGTACATTTCACACCTAGGGAGGAAAAGTAGACTAGCTTAAACCACGTGTAAAATTACAACCCGAGTCGAAAGCGAGGGTGGTAAACACGTGGTTGAAGCTAGTCTACTTTTCCTCCCTAGGGCTGAATATGATTTTTCGTCATACCTGTGTGGAAAGTTCAACCCCTCTTTAATGGAAAAGTGAACTTTCCCCGCGGGTATGACGAAAAATTCATTCTTAAAAATAAAGATTTAAATATTCAATCTATAAATAATTATTTTTTGACATAAGTTTGTTTTTATTTTTTGATACATATTTTTTGCTTTGCTGTATATCTTTTTATTAAAATTTTGTTTACACAAATTAGATATTAATGTTAAATTTAAATAATAAACATTCAAAAGTTGTTCACAATCATTAATAAATAAAATCAGTGATTGAATATGTTATAGTATTGAAATGAAAGCCAAAAAAGTATTTAATTTTTCAAAATGGCTCAATCTTCGTTTTTATAACACGTAAATTGAAACCCACAAAACCATTCCCAACCCTTCGATCATTTTGTAATGGAATTTTTATTGAGGTAACAAGTTTCACAAAAGGGTTGGCTTATTGTTAATGAATTTGAATAAACACCAATAAACATTTATTCATCACTAATAAACTTTATTTATTGCTAATTAATTTTATTCATGTTAAACACGGACACAAAAACAGCGTCCTTTCAATGGTCATAAAATTTCTCGAAAGCAATTCACAGCCAATGAAAGTATCTGCAACCTCTTCAACACGTTGAAACCAGCATCAACAACGGTACAAATTCGTGCACCCTACTTTAAAATAAACTCCAAAGTTGCTCCAGATTCAGTGTCTCTTGTGCTCCATTCTTCATTCCCAAATCAGCTAAAAAAAGCTGATAGATCAGATGGGGATGTGATGACGAGGATCAGTATAGGGCTATTTCCCTTAGAATAAAAGCTATATATGGTGCTTATAAGTACGCACGACGTAACCGGTGGAAGTTCTTGGTTCAAGGGCAGGTGTAGTTACCGCGAGGAGTTGGAGAACAAGGAGAGCACAGCTGTGTCCTAGCTTTTCGTTGTATATTCGATGGTAGACGAAGACAGAAAGAGGGTGCTGCTAAGGTAAACTATATAATAGGAAGGTAACAGTGGACCCTTTTGAGAAGCAGATGTCTCGGCACGAGACACGTGCCCACCTTGAAGAGACCCCCTCTTTCTTTGAGTCTGCCCCTTCCTTTGGGGCACACACAGTCTTTCTACCCTCCTTCCTTGCCATTTTGGAACGCGCCGAGAAATCTCACAAACTTTGCTTTTTCTTTCTCTTCATTTCCCCATCATACTCATTCTTTTCTACCCTATAACTTGGTTTTTTTCTTTATTCTGTAGGCTCGAGACACCAGCAGCTGCCCTTGTTATATATTTCGTACGATCACTTGGTAAGACCACTCGTGTACAAGACCCAGGCAATGTCGTTATATACCTTTATAAGCACCGCGACCACTCATAAAAGTCATGATAACCACCATATTATTTTTTATCGCTTTCATCTTCTGAGATTTTTGAAGACGAAACCTAATTCATAAGTTCAATGACCTCTTGACTAAGACTTTAAGTTGATACGACCAGTTCCTTATCTTATTCAACACTTGATCATTAAACAATTCCAATTAATTTTTTTATTTGTTTAATGATTCAGCAATAATAATAGGTAATAATCATTTTGTTAATTTAATTGGAATTTATGTTATACAATAATTTAATCGTTAAACACGTGGACTATGAAGTAGAATCTACAAATGAGAGCCTCTGTTGCGCCGTGCGACTTTTTGAGTTGCCCTGGTCCCACGCCGACTGTGGATTGCACGTACGCGTGCAACGTATATACACGAGTCTCGCGATGTACTCCACGGACCTACGTGAAATATACTCGAGCAAAAACGCATTCTTGTGTGCGTGCTCAGGTCCCACGACATTCTCTAGTATTGCCTCGATCTATTCCTTGTCTACTGTCCCCAGTATATATGCGCATCAATTCCAATATGTCACATAGACGTGACTCTTGTGGAAATATAAACATCCCCACACTTCTTTGTGTTGATGAATTAGGGTAAATAGATCACTGGATAAACGGTTAGGTAGACTTGAGGTTATTTTTCAAAAAAAAAATCATGGATTAAGTTTTTATTTTTGGCTGGGAAAAGTTTGTTGTTCATGGGATACAACAAAAAGTAGAATAATCATTGATTATAACATTTTTTCTTTCACTATTCAAATATTTAAGATGATTGTCGGTGAAAATTCAAAGTAAACCATCTATTGAAAATGTTCTTAGATCTTTGTGATTTCTGTAGGTCATTGTTGAAAGGTATTTTCCCTAGGAGTTATTGAATTCAGTGCTGGAAGTGTTATTGTCTCTTTAGTAGTTAATAACTCTGTTAGAAAAAAGGTCATGTAACATTTTTAGAACAAAGTCTTGAAAAAAGACGATTTTGATTTGGGAAATTCAACCTAAATTTTAAACAAAGATTCCTTCATACCATTATGATTTTTCTAAATTTAATATAATTCAATTACTGAAATGTATTTTATGTTGATGATGATGAACGTTCATCTCATGAGATAATAACACATCTAGGTAAAATTATCACAAGTTCTCCAAAAATGAGCATTCAAAATAACTTTAAGGAAACAATATGTCTTGGATTAGTAGTGATTTCTAGAAGTTCTTTAAATGTTCACTTTTGTTAATATCAAGTTAATACTCATGCTTTGATGTTTCAAAAGCTTCTATACTTTTATTTATTATAAAATTATAAAAAGTAAACTTTCAAGAATCCATGTCATTATTAAAACTAGATCATATCCATCAAGTATGCCAAGTATTTACACAGCTAAATTTATTATTTAATTCAATAAACTTTTACTGTGTTATTGAAAATGTATTCTGTACTCAATTGATTTTGAATTAATTGATGAGCTGATCAATAATGGAATATTAAACGTTTTTCTACTATTGATCTTTCCATTTTATCACTTTATTGGTATCGAATTAAAAATACACGACTGGAATTAGGAATTTGAATAATGCAAACTAAAAGTTATCATCAACATTCCAGACACACAGGTCTGTTCTAAATATACATGAGCCAGCAACATTGTTGTAAACAACTGTACTAGTACTAATCTCAAATTCTTGATGATCAATAGACCGATTTAATTCCTTAGTACCGAACATTAGTTGGCTATAATCATTGCAAGCTATCAGGTCATTTATAATCATTCATTCTTCAAAACTCTGTCACACATGTCTCTCTTTTTTAGGTAATTTTTTTTTTGAATGTATTCGTTTCATGTTGAAAATAGATTTATTACTAAATTGTCCTAGATGAGAAAAAAATATGAACTCATATAATTGTGTTTAAATATACATAGAGTACAATGTATAACGTATACATGAGAACATGTGATAAGGTATATATTAAAAAATAGAGAATACATATGTTGAAATATATGTTAACACATGTATATACAAACTTCTGTGTGATTAGATTTATCTCAACTTATAGGATTACACATATATTTTAACATATATGTACTTAAGTGATAACAAACTTTTTAAGTATTTGAAATATTTCGTTGAGTACATTTAGTACTTAAATACTTCAGTAGAAAAGAGTTTTATTCTTTGCATGCGAACAATTTTTTATAAGTTCATTTAACAAATTAAAGTGAGTTATTAGGTATTATTGAACAAAAAATTTAATTCTTTAAATTAATTAGTAATTATAAAACACTACAGGTTGTTGGTGATTATTATTAGTTAGTGAATAAAGTGATTTATGATCAGAAACCATAACAAAATTAGTTAAAATGATCATCATTGTTTTCAAAAACTTTTTCATTACTCATAATAATACTCAGTAATAACATTCTTATTCTTTTTTTTTCAGAGCACGCTGTTTCAGATGCATTTTCTACCAGCACCTATAATATCATGGATGCATATGTGAGTACTTTGTATACATCATTTGACTCTTTTTTCCCAGTAATATATCGATAATATGCACGTACATATTTTTGTATTTCTCACGTACGTCTATTCTATATATTCTGAAGTAAAATATTAACGTCATTTATGACTCGAGCAAGAAGCCACTTGTATGTTGTAAAGCGTATAGTACATTACAGAACTTCTGAAGTCACGGGGATTCTCCAAGATTTTATAGCCTCGACAAGCAGTCAAGTTGGCTCGTAAAACAAAAAAATCAGCGCTATGCAAAATCGTGCCAAGGCCTTCCCATAATTTATATTATACTCGTTCTCTTGTTGTATTATTTTTTTCACTAAAAATCACCGGAATTTACTACAGTAATTTTAATAAATTACGTGTTTGCGCAATTAAGCAAATAAAACTGCGGCTTTTGTCGATCAATGTGAGAATAAGCGCCACTGTTATTTCTCTCAGGAAGTAGGTACATTACAGAGCGAATTTTTTTTCCCGAGAAAAAAAAACATGAGATTCGATGACGGTATTTTTTTTATCTATCTCACAGTTATTGTAACAAGGGCATGTATTTTTTTTGAGGTGTAATACTGAGAAAAATTTTTCTTCTTGAAATTGATAGACTGACTTAACTGACAATTTGCAGAATGAATACTTAATAAATCATTGTTAAGAGAATCCATTCATGTTTGTCATAATTGTGAACGTAACTTTGTTCAACGACCCATCAGGATTGACGAACGATAAATCATTTTTTAATTGAAAATTTCTCGTTTAACTCAATCTGGTGTTTGCAACTTTTCCTTCTATCAATATATTCAGTAAAGTTTTTTTTTATTAATTTTTGAAATAAAAAAGTGATCAAATTTTTCAAATTATTACTTTCCCATTAATTATCATCCATGTTTAAATAATATTAAACCTGAATTTGAACTTATATATTAAATATTAAATTTAAATTTAATATTATTACTCAAATAAATGATTATTATTCAATAAATTTTCTTTCGAATCATAAACAAAGATTTCAAGTTAAAATGAGAGCTATTTATTCATTAAAATATCTTTGACGTTCGTCAAAAATTTTTGAAAGTGGAATTATTCAGTTTTGTTCAGACATTTTTCGATTGCGAATAATTTTACGGCTACAATTATTATTAATTTTTCCTTTAACCATTAAGTAACTAGAATTCGCCTGAAAGGCAATAAGCGATTTTGATAACCATGTTATTCACACTGCTCTCAAGAGAGTCAAAAGCTCATTAATTGAATACTTCCGTTTTAGACATTATTTTAGATTAATTTCAAATGAATAATATCACTTTCTTTCAATTTTTTTTATTTCCGAGAATAGTCAAAACATAAATTATTAATAGATATTTATATCACTCTTTAAATTAATACATTAATAAAAATAAAAAACAACAGACAATTTCTTCATTAAAAATAAAACTTCTTTGTCATGATCACATTTCGATCAACTTTAATATTTTCGATTAATTGTCACACAATTTGAAGTCAATGAAACAATCATTTTTAAATATATATTGTTTAATATTTTTCTACGACATCAAAAACTTTTATCATAAAAATGTAGAAATATATTCATAACTTACCTTAAATCAATGTTAAATAATTTTTAAAACGTTTTAATATAAATAAAAAATAATTCTGTCAGTCATTAAAAAATTTAGATTGAAATCCTTAAAAACGATCTTCCTTTTATTCACTCATAGTATTTATTATACGATACCATCGGATATTACTTTCGAATCAATAATATATCTCAACTTATATAATAACACCATTTGAATATTAATTCATGCAAAGGTAAACGTTCTTCGTGTCCATACAACTGAAATGGGCGTAAAAATATGTAGTTTATGACCAAAGACGTGTAGTTAAAAATGAAGAGTGCAATAATGTGGCTTTATATTGTGGGTAAAGGTTAACGTGAACAAAAAAAAATACGAAATAGAAACCGAATACATATAAAGTAGTATAGCTGATAAAAAAAAGTGTATGTTATTGGTTAGTGTAAGTTGGAGATATGCAGACGGCTAACTCCCGTGTGTTTTAGTTTTAGTCTTTATTCAACTAATCCATTATGGAACGATTCCCAGGGTTTTAAACAGCATAGATTGACAATGACATAGTACGTATCTCTGTGGCTCTTTCCATTATTCATCAAGATTATCGATAAATTATCATATTATAATGGCGCCACCAAGTTTACATCAGAAACAATGCTATGAGGATGGTAAACATTGTGTAAGAATGTTAGGAGAATTGAGGTGCACTCGCCAAGTTCATAAATTCCTTTGCAAGTAACCGTATAGTCCAGTCAGAAGGGTTTGCAAAATGGGTATTGTCTTCTATCTAGGAATTGTCTGTAAAAAGTATTATTTGATAATGTTATAATGTAGTTAGACTCAAATAAATATATTAGAATAAATAATAATAAATAAGTTATTTTGTTCTGAATTGTTTATTTAGAAAATTTTATTAACTAGTTAGTATTAGTAAAGATATATAGTGAATAGTTTTTTAGGATTAGTATTCGAATGAAATGAATCTAATGCTATGATTAACCGTTCATGGAATATTTAATTGTTAAGTACACCGTACATGCTTACACTTGGTAATTCGCGTGACAGTGATAAACAAATAGTTTTATTTTGAACATAAATTCATCAAATGATATCGACTTTTGTTTCTCTTTTGAAGCTGAGATTTTATTTAATATAAAAAAAATAATTATTAAATATTGTTTAATAATAGTTTATAAAAGTTTTCTCAAAAATTATTTAAAAACTATTCGAATTTTTACGTAATTTTGAATATCATTTAATGCTTACATGGTAGCAATAATTATTACACTTAATGTATTTGAAACCTACTTGGAAGTGTCTTGAAAGTGATTACAAAGCTAATCAAATGGGTGACGTCAAATTGAAACACATTAAGTATATCGAAATAAAACACTCTCAAATTTGAGATTCGTAGTAATGACTGTCATAAAATATTATTTATTAATGACAGTTATCAAAATGACATTATTAAAGAGAGACAATTCATTTATTTGTTAGTAAAACTTTGAAAATTGATAGTTACGGATTACAGAAGTAAAAGTAGTCCTGTTACGTATAGTAGTATAATTATTAAAAAAAAAAAAAAATTTTATTTAATTAAATCTATCAAAACAAAAAGGAAATATTCTTGATTACATTAAATTTATTAAGTATTAACATTTTATTACATAAAAATATATAATTAATCAATAATTTACTTGAAGAAAGTAATAGTTGTCACCAAAACGTGACACAAATTTAATTTGAATAAAATTTGACAAATGAGATTGGAAAATAGCTTAAAATTACTTATTTATTTTTTAATACTTATTCTATTGTTATTATTACTATTACTATTATTCAATAATAGTTTTTTATCGTTAAATAAACACTACAAATATTATTGTTTTTTTTTAAGACATTAAAAGTGTTTTAAAATGACGTCACCCATTTGATTAACGTTGTCTCATTTTTAAAACGTTTTCAAGTGTTTTAAAAACAAGACAACGTTAATCAAATGGGTGATGTCATATTAAAACACTTTTAATGTATTAAAATAAAACACTAATATTTACAGTGAAAGAATTGATGGTTTTTAATTCTTTGAACAAATATTGATTGAAATAATTTTTTATTTTAATTATCTGATTTTACAATTGCCGTTGAGTGGATTATTCTGTAGAACTAAAGCGCAATGGTATGTATTAAATCTAACAGTCGAAAGATTCATTACACATCGTGTAATTCAGTTTCAAAATTACGCGTGCATCAAACTCGTAATCGAAGTGTTGCGGAATTTAAATAATCGTCGGTGATAATTATCATAATGACACGGACATAATGTGTATATAATTTTGCAAGGCGTAAAGGTGATTGTACACGATAAAATTGACGATGATCGGATGCCTGCAGGTGCAACATCACTGGCATTATAACTGATAGTTATACGTATGTATATATATATACATAAGCAGTGGCTTTGTAAATATATGCATGTATTTGATAGCAATGTCTTGTACGTATATAGACTGTCTATACTACAAAGATACTCTACTTCATTAACGCACAAGCGTTTCTAACGAGAGGTAACGATGTTGCGACCTACAACTAAGACTCAACGATGAAAAAAAATCTAAATACTACTAGACTGCAAACAACAATGTACTAATCTATTCATCAAAAAAAAAAAAATGTTAATAATGTTTTCTATTTTGTAATTAAGTTTTTATTTTATTCACTTTTTATTTTTTTCTGAATTAATTACAGTAAGGGAATTAATTCTCGATTATATTGCATTATATTTAATTAGCAATTTTTATATTTTCAATTAACTCAGGGGTTAATTATCTGCAGATATTCAAAATTGTTGTTTAAATGAGATAAAAAATTAAACTTATTATTATAATTGATAAAAAGTTACCAAACTGATAATGAATCTTAGTTTGTTAAATGAAAATATGATTTATTAATGGAATAAATACATTAAAAGATGAACAAAATATAAAAAATTATTAACAGTCTAAAATTTATTTCCATTAGAAGAATTTTACTTTTTTTTGTAATTAACCAGACTTAGCTTTAAAAGATAATAAAGTGTTTTATCTGAATTTTTTATAATTTTAACGATTCTCCATTTTATGTAAACAAATATTTGTTAACAGTTAATTAATCTCATCAAATCCCGAAATGCTAAGATTTTAAATTCAACAAAAGGTTAATAATATTAAATAAAATTTAAAAGTTAATGTAAAGTAATAATAAAAAAATACAATTCCCAATTTCAGCTGATATTAAAAAATACTTTTCTTTATTTTCATTTACAGAAAATGATTTATAATTAATTTGATGAATTATTTTTTCAAACCAATTTCGTAATTAACTGCAATTATTTGATTGAATATGTTATTTATATTCTTCTTTCGCAGTGTATAAAAAAAAAAAAGTTATATAGATGCATTTACTGTTTTTGTAGTAAAATAAATTCTTGTATCAGTAAACATCAAATAATTTCGCTAAAAATGGTATTTTCATTCAGACAAATATCTAAAGTATTCAACAGTATCAGTGTCTCCTTTCTCTTCCTCCATATCATCATTTGCATTCCCAGTGAAGCACAAATTATCTCGTCCTAATTATTGTCATTTATTTTTATTTTTTCAACCACGCGTTGGTTACACGTTTTTCCATAGCTCGTAATACTATTATAAATATAAATTTTCGCCTTCTTTTTATCTCCAACTGGAAAGCAAATCCGCGTAGCAACATCTTCCTGTAAGTAAGCCGCCTAAGACGAGGATATTAGCAGCATCAGAGGCAGTAGTTTTAACATGCTTGAGTTTATAAACTGAGAGGAAGCGCGTTAGTCGAAGCGGTGTAAGCCACACGGTTGGTATATGAGTGTCGTAATAGCAAAAGTGTGCATGTATATAAGGTAGTGACGATGGTAGTAGGCGCGAGAAAGAATAAAGTGTGTGAGCGAATAAGTAGTATAAAAGAAGAAAGACGGTGGTATTTCGGTGTGCACAATGAGAGGAGATACCGTAGGGGAAGGCGGCCGAGACAGAAAAGAGGTTCCTCTTCTTTCCTTCTCTCTCTCGACTGGTACCTGCATTCCGTTCCCACTGACCGCTTAGGTCCTTGTATAGGTACTCATCCTCCACCTCCTTGAAGGCTTCCCCGGTCGCTTACTTGTGCTTACTTAGTCGCCCGTGCGACTGCGCCAGCAGCTTCCCCGCATCTGTAACAAGAATACGAGGAAGAGGAAGGTAAAGAAGAAAAAGGAGATAAAGAAGAAGAGAAAGAAGTAAAAGAGTATTATATATCTTTCGCGGGTGCTCTCACAGAAAACTCGTTTAGTCGCTCGATCTCAAGCCTTTTTTTTTTCACTTTTATTGTCCTCTTCTTCCCCTTTTGTATTTTTCGATCATTTAATGTCTGTAACCAATTCGACAACTATTTCTAATCTATGATGAGAAACAATCAAAATTACACCGTACACACAATAAGTGAACACGTGGTTTAAAAATAGCACAAAAATGATGAAAGAAACAAACAGGGGTTCAAATACGGGCAAATATAACTTCTGCAAGTTATTCTGGAGTTGCGATCGTCTTAATTAGAACAATTAGTTGAGCCTGAGAATAAAGTGGAATGACGCATCTACTCAGTACCATCATTGTCATTGTCCTCATACTTGAAAGCTTTTTTTTGTTTCTTTTTCCAACACTCTATGTTGTCGCATACACAAGTCATCTTTCAAGCTATATTACCAATTTTAAGAAATCTGTATTTAGAATAATGCACGAATGCCTTTCTAAGTTCATATTTAAATAGATAAAAAAAAATATGTCGATCATGAACAAAGACTGACGCACACGCGTCTTTGTATCGTTGTACTTCCGGCTAATTCCGCGTGCCGAAATTTTTATGGTCACATATATGGTATGCGTATGAACGTGCGTGCAAGCAATACACAAACATAAGATTCTTCAGAGGGGTCTGTCACGCGTACAAATAGTTGACCTCGCTTCGTCGCCTCTATCAATGGCTTGCTAGTAGTCTGAATGGCTACATACCTCTTTCCCCTCCTTTTGCTCTTCTACACTCTCGTTCGATAATGCGTCAGAAACTCATCGCGTCAATTTCATTTTCTTCCTTCGCAATCTGTGCTCCATTATATACATATTCCAAGACTTTTATTGATTTTTCTCAAATATATTTTCTGTCAATTATAACTCAGAACTCATTCGATCAATTAGGACTCGAGTTGTTTAATTGTTTAAAGATAAAAAACAATCTATTAGATACCCGGAAATTTTATTTGAGAAAGTCTTGTAATAAGAACCCACGTAAAGATCTGAAATTATGTTAAACTTTTCTTATTCCCTTCGAAGAAACGCTAGCCGCTAATTTGCATTTGACTCTGGAGTCTCTCCCACCAGTTGTGGCCAATAGGATCCAATTTATGCGAGTTCTATTTTAACCTCAATCCAGTTCAGTAGGCTCGTCGCAATCGTTCCATTTTAAACAATTAAATAACAAAGAAAACTTTTTAACTTATCTTAAACATACACTTTAACAACATTCGATGTTTTTACGTTTGCATTTTCAAACACCTTTTAAAACAGGTATTCCCCGTTTTTACCGACAATAGACGTTTTTATTACCGACAATGGATAAAAGCTATTTTACCGATTGTATGATGTACCTTTTGTAGATTTGCTTCAGTCGGTAAAACATCGATACAACATTAAGTAGCTTTCTAGTATACCGACGGCTATATTTTTTTACCAAAAAATGTCGGTATTTAGGATTTTTACACTTTACTTATTATTCATAATAATCGATTTAATTAAAAATTAAGTAATTAATAACACTTTGGAAAATACCTTCTATATAATTCAGTTTAGCATTGCTTTACTAAGACATGAATTTTATAACAAAAAAATGATCAAGCAGACAAATATTGTTGTTTATAATATTTGATGCCGACCCTCTGTCTTTACGGTTATAGTAATAGCTTATTAACGAGATAAAATAATGTCCTAATTCTAAGAAAATCATGTTAATCACTTATGTCTCGACATGAGAGAAATATTGATATGTCTCGTGAAGCAGAAGTTAATCCGAAGAAGTTTGTCGGCGCCGAGTAAATGAGAGATAGACTCATTAACTTTGGATTATCGTTTAATGATGAAAAGAGGCTGAATAAAATACTTAAGCCCCGTCTGAAATATTTGATTTTTACAGGGAGAAATGGTGGTTTCTGTGTAAGTTACTATAGGGTCATAAGTTATCCCATATCTTTATCGGTACTTCATATAATCGTCAACCTTCATCCCTATCAATGTACAGATAGCACACGTGCAAAATAATATTACTTGAGTTGAATCGTTTTGTTTACTACTAGTGATTTGTTAATTTAATAACAGAAAATAGTTATAGAAATTATTTTATTCATTTTTTTTATAACCTTGAAATGTCATTTGCATATACATATTTTACATCTGGAAATTTTTTTGTAGGTTATTCTTCAGTTATATGCATTTATATCTTATCGTCCAGTTCTCTATTTATCTTAATGACTGCATGATTTTATTATATTCAGTAAATTTATTTCTCCATGCATTTAAAAAACATATCTGTATCATTATTTGATTCTGTAAAAAAAGCCACCCATAGTGAATAATATAATGAATGTGATAATTTTCGGTAGCTTTTTAAAGAGATTAATTATTAATTACTTTTAGCTGCTATCTGTTATTTTAGAACAATAATTAAACATTGAAAAGAATAATTTTTTTATTAAAACTTTAAGAAATAAATTAATAATATTGATATTATTATTTTTTAGATATTTTTACAACTCTTCAACAATTTATCATGGGATCCAATCATCATATAGACGAAACTGGTTTTCACAATGATTTGCCAGATAGATTTAATTCTGAGATCATTGTGAAAGCTGATTTTGTTCGCCAGACAACTAGGATCAACTTCAGCATCAAGCATGTTGTAAACTACTTCTAAAGGAAATTACTGTAAATATAATGTTTGCTTGCATGTGTCTGATATTGGTATGGAATGCTGTCATTCAATATCATATTTATGAATAATTAATAAATTAATAGTAATCATCATCTTAATTATCGGCTTGCGATCCAGCAAATTTTTTTCATTTTTTTTAGATGAGTCCGACCGAGTTTCTTGCTCGGTCGCGGGCCGGTGTAATTGTTGACAGATAAATAAATAGACTGCACAAAGAAGCCTCTGTGCAAGATCTTCAGCGTAGCACGCGCTACGTCGGAGTCGTGCGCCGCCAAGGGCAAAACGAATTCCCGTAAAAGAAATTGTTCCTCAGATTTGAACAGACAAGTAAGGGTTTTTTGAAAAAAGAATAAACATCCAAGAACCGGAAGAAATAAATTAGCATGAAGAGAAGAAAGATTTTTGAAAATTAGTGTAATGATTTAAATTAAATCATGTCGAAGATTATATTTAATTTTTGCTTCCATTTTTTTAATAGAATTGTTTTACAGTTTATTCTGAAAGTGTTATATTAAAAATAAATCATCACCCATCTAAAAGAAATAAAAAATGATTTTGTATTTTTGTATTTTTTGTCAATGAACATGCAATATCAATTAATTAATAAAGTTATTTTATTCTCATTAATATCTTTAGTGTAATGAATGAAATATTAAATGTTAGACCTTCATAACTGATTAAGGTAAAACCTTGAAAGAATCGAAATTATTAATTAAATGCATTTTTATAAACTTAAATTTCAAAACACTATTAATATTTTTTACCTTTACTTTTTAGGACACTTTTTCAAGTGAAAAATTTAATGAAAGTATCATAAAAAATCAATTATTTGCTTCAATAAAAAACGCTTTCATAACTTAGTATATTACAGGTATAATAATTCCAATATTGTTTTACAGGATTTTTTGCCAGAAGTGAAACAGTGAACGTTGAAACTTCTCTAACGGGAGCTCGCCAATTAAACATCTAGAGCGCATACAAGCAATGAGTTTTTTGTTGGAATTTCCGGTGGTGATTTATCAAACGGAAAAGATGGTATCAGATACACAGCTTGTAACAAGAAATTGCTGCGAGAAATGGAAAACGTTGAAGAAGTATCCTAAGTACATATTACTCACGTATCTAAACCCTACACTGCAAAGTCGACAGTACCTATATAAGAAACAGCAGCATAATCATTGATTAGTTGAATTTATTTAACAACTTCCAGATGAATTCATTTATAAGTTCTCCACATTTTCATCTGCAATGTCTTGCTAGTGGTCACGAAGAAAGCAGTCTATCAACTCCCTTCATGGGTGCATGTAACAACTATCAAGTGTCAAACGTACCGAATGTATAAGAAAAACCAAAAGGCTTGGCCAGCCGTTTTTTTCAAACAGTTCGGAAGAAGAACAAGAGAAAAGAAACTCTAGATGGTATCCATGACTGGCAATGCTTCTGGATGCCCTTATAAGAGAATCTCTGACACACTCAAGTCTTTCTCATACGTCAAGCATGACATGACAGCTTGGAGAAGGCCTGCACATTCTTTAGCCCTTTACATTTTGTTTTATGTTTTTAAACATCCTTATCGCATGCTTTAAGACTGAATTGTCAACTACAATGTTAACGGAAAAACGATACTCAGTTAATATTGATGTGAGATGTTGCTGATCAGTTGATTGTAAGATCTCCGGAAGTGATGCTCTTTCTGAGATCTTAAATAATATAGAACTGGGTAAATTAATCTGATTTTGAAGCATTTAATATAACTTTGAACTGAGTTGAAATAAAATTGGTTATCTAATATAGCTATCAGTCTACATACATGAACCTAATTGAAATTTTACTTAAATCTTATTGGGAGGTAACTGAGATAATAATTTCTTAGAAGATTGAGAATTCGAGATAGCTCATTTTTTAATTCATTCAAAAGAATTCTGTGGTAGGAAATAGATGATCGATTTTAAAGTTAGTAAGTAAGTACATTGAGACGTAAAATTAAAAATTGTCAAGACTTAATCAGGAATAAGAAGTACAGAATAATACTCGGAGAGAAAGGAATAGTAAATTCTACTCCAATAAATAGTAGCCTGTTGTTTCAGGTACAAAAATAGCAATAAAAAATTGTTTAATTAGTATACATTACAATTTATTCTAGTAAAAATTTTATTATGAATCAAAATTGTGAACTATGCAAAAATAAATATATAATATTACAATTGGAGTATGTAATAAAATTGTTACAAGAAAAAATTGTAATGTATACTAATTAAACAATTTCTTATTGCTATTTTTGTACCTGAAACAATAGGCTACTATTTATTGGAGTAGAATTTACTATTTCTTTCTCTTCGTGTGCTCACTTTAAAATGAATAATTTAATTGATTGATGTTAATCAATGAGAAAATAAGTTTATATTCATGATTATTAATTACAAGAAATTTCTGCTTTTATAAAAAAAACCATTCTTTTGCATTGATGATTAAACGAAATTAGTTGTATAATTTGTGATAATGCATCATAAAAATAAATACAAATTGATTTAATTACATTATTTAACATAATGTTGGAAAACCTAATGATTTACCAATATTAATAATAACATTATTAATATTGGTAAATAATTAGATTTTCCAACACCTCCCCTTTTAAGTATGAAGACATTGTCTGAAATACTCTTGTTAAAGGATGATGATAGTAATAGTAATGGTGATAAAAATATAGTTAATATTATAATAATTACAATTAATAGTAGTATTTGTTTTTTACAACAATAATAATAATTTTCAAGAAAAATTAATTTATAAAAATTGCTTATTCAAGTAATTATTTTTATTATTCAAATAATATTAAACATAATTCGATTATGCCATATGTTCTTTACATGTTATGTTTTAATTAGTAATATAAATCAGCTGAACATATTTTGTAAAGAATTTTCAATTATAAAAGCATAGTAATTTACTATCAAATCTACTTAAGACATTTTTTCTTTAATATTAAGTATGATTTAAGAAAAAGCTATGGATTATAATTGAATAGATTCTGTACCCACTAACTGCATTTTCATATTTAATGGGATTGAATGTCTGTTTCATACAAATCTGTTTTCAAAGTTGTATTTTAAATATTGTCTGAATTATCTAAAGCTTTGTAGTATTTTTTTCCAAAAGATTAAAAAGTTGAAAATACAATTTTAGCTTCAACAACATGGAGTTTCAAAAAACTAATCTTATCGAGTAGAATAAAAAAAAAACCATAATAATCCCATTTATATTTTATGCAGTCCCTGGCCTCAATTTTCTATTTATCAGTCTATTTATCCTACTTTTAAAAATTAAATAAATTCAATATTTATTCTTCAACAAATCTTAAATCCACCCATTTATTCTAGGACAATTTTCAATTATAATTCAGAGATTTTATTACAAGTGCAATTTTATACATAATTCCAAAGCAATTTCATTTGTGAAAATTTGAATAAATCCATTTACGCTTCTATTTATTATCACATGATCAATAAACTCAATTTATCCTCTTCTAATATAATCTGCATCTTATTTAAACTCACTTTCTCTCTTCCATCATTCCAATGTCGTAATAAATGTGCAAAAATAAGTGAGCACATACAGAATTTCACACGAATCGTTAGCACCTACTGTCACTTTTTACACTTAAAGTTACAAAAAATTAGCAACTTTTTAACTTGGGATAAAAATGCATGCAACAAAAGTGGCCACATTAATCTGTCAAATTTTGATACCAATATTGGCGGTTCGTTTGTGACATTAGTCAAGTAAAAAATTCATCACCTAACTGCACTTACTACGATCGTATGCTAAAGAAGTGAAGGAGGTGAACCTCATAAAAGAGCTTAGCAAATTGAAGCTACGAGTGATATACGGTAACTCTCATGTTACGACCCGTCGCAAACGATAGAGTCTTTACTAGCACAGCTTTCTCTCTTCTCCCCTAAAAATAACCATAATATTTAGCTATGTAAACCATGGAAGTACGACTAAAATTTTATTTACTGCTATATTTTGACGTGTAAACTAGTTATATTTCACCGTAAACTTTTATTTTCTTTTTAATATACTTTTTCTCTACTTCTTCATCTTTTCTTACATTATCATGAGTTTTAGAGTCAAATGTTGTCATGTTTTACTGTACAATTTTCTTTTGTTTAAGATAAATATATATTCAGAAGACGTAATAAAAAAAAATCAATGGAGTAAAGCAGAAAGTACTTGTGAAATATAGTTTTTTATTCAATATTTTTTTGACTGCACCTCAATTGCGGATGAGGCCCAAAAATAGTGTAATAAAATGTCTCAGTTGCGGACGGGGTCAATTAGAAAATAGTCAGGTACCAAAACAGAGTAAGAAATTCGCCCCGCCTACAAAAAAATATGTCCCACGCTACAGATAACTATAACGAAAATTTGCATCCGAAAAATAAGATGATTCTACAAAATTGTAGAAATTGACAAGTTGATTCTGCTCTCTCTAAAAGTTTATCAGTGAATAGTAACTGATCATCAGTGACTATTAGCTGATGGCATCAGTCTCAAGTATCGCACTGAAAAATCAGTAAATAATAAATAATTTTATTTATTTATAATTCGAAGATTGATGAAATTTCTTTATATAGAAAATATCGTATTCTTTATTGTAATAAGAATTTTACATTCATCATGCATATTGTACTTATTTTTAGACATTGTTGTTATCTCCTAATTTCATATTTATAATGTTAATATGTAAAGATGATACGGTTCAAATCGGTCAAAAGCTGTTCAACATTTAATGCACTGAAATCACTGGTATTTTCGTTATTCATTATATATTTGTTTGAAACTATAAAATGAAACAAATAAAAAAAAATTCATATTGGTTGAGATTATAATTGTAAATACCAATGTTTACACATGTTAACGTTGAAAAATTACAACAATTTTACAATTTAATA